CATCTTCCCTGTGTTGAAGTTGCCAGCATTGAGCTCTTTTCGTGCCCAGGTTATTACAGTGCCAGCAAAGTCCCTCAATCTTCTCTGAAAGCTGCCTTTTCTGACCTTGAATCCAGATGACTGTACCAACCTTGGTACCTCTGTACTGGACTTAACGTAGGATTCAAATTCAAGAGCTCTGGCCATTGCATCCTGCATAGTAGAAGGGCGTGTTTGTTTTACTTGTATCTTCAGTTGTGGACTGTCCAAGGCATCTACAAACTGATCCCTCAGCAACAACTTGGGGAGATCGGGTGGTGCAGTTGGGTAGGCCTTGTGTGCTATACTTTTCAAATCCTGTGCCAGCTCTTGCAGGCTCTCCCCTTTGGCACGGACTCTCGTCCTAAACCTAGCCCTGTAGACTTCAAACTGATTTTGGGTTCCATACCTGAGTTCTAGAGCAGCTACCAGTGCTCTATAGTTGTGTATGTCGTCTGCTGACAACTGTCCAAGTATTTCCAGTGGTTGACCCTTCAATAAAATACACAGTTTGCAAGATGTCAGAGGAAACACCAAGTACTCTGCAGGCATGACAATTATATTAGCAGGTGATTGGAAGCAAATTTTATCAGTAGTTTGCTATGTTTCACGACCGCAAATTGTTGAAGCCAACCTCAAGAAATCTTACTTCTGGGAACATATTCAGACAATGGAACCAAAGACAGATGTCAGAATGACAACTGCCAGTACTGATGAAAAGTCCTCTTTTGCCAGGTTTTTATAGACATTGGAAATGGCCAAGTGCCAATTGATCAGGAGATTGGACCCTATAAGATCAAGTTTCCAGAAGAACTCCTCCTGCAGTAAACAACATGCTGATCTTTGCAGCAAAACTTTGCTGACCCTTCTTGGCTTGCTAACAGGGCCATCATATCTCCTACCAATGAGGCTGTACAGAGAGTCAATGAAGTCATGTTGAAAGAATTTTCTGGTCCAGAACGAACGTGCAAAAGTTTAGATACTACTGGAGATGAGACTCGATACCCACGTGAATTTTTGAATGAGATCAATCTCTTTGGACTTCCTCCTCATCTGCTGAAGCTCAAGGTTGAATGCCCCATCATGTTACTGAGAAATTTGGACCCGCAGAATGGACACTGTAACAGCACAAGATACACTGATTGTTATCAGTCTTCAAGATTACATAACAGAGGCGAAAATTGCAATTGGAAGCTTTGCTGGTGAAAGAATCTTCATTCCAAGGATTCCTCATATTTCTCAGGAACACGAGTTCCCCTTCAGTCTTGGCCGGAAACAATTCCCAATAAAACTAGCATTCGCCATTAAATCAAACTAGTCGAAGTCAGACTCTGGCCCGGATTAGTCTGTTCTTACCAAAGAACTTTTTTTTACCATGGACAGTCAGTTTTATGTAGCCCTTTCAAGAGTGGGAAATAAGTACAAGATCAAAATCCCTGCAGAAAATGCAACATTTAAATCAAAGCAAGAAAAATTTATTAATAATGTTGTTTACCAAGAGATTCTCTTCATCTAACAACCTGTCTGTGATAAATCAGTAGCTTTGTGACATATAATTCTTATTTGTGATAAAATTGTGTTACTTAAATAAATCACAAAATAGAACATGATAATATCAAAGTAAAACTGTGGAGTTAATATCATTACAATTTTTAATAAAGATGGGTATATAGTCTCTCGCTATATCTATATACAGTATTTACATAAAATAATATTTTCGCAATAATACAGTTACAAGCGTGGTCAAATCCATAGATAGATAGCATTTCTTCTTACTATAATGGAGCAATGGCATAGCCATGTATATATCTATGGTGCCATCTGTTGTGCTGAAATACAAGATCTCAATGCCAGAAGTAGTGATTGAGGTTTAACATTTAGCGACATCTATCGAATGTCACCATAAACAAAACCCCATAAAAAAATGTTCACACTTTTTTGAGTATTCGAGATTCAGACAACTTTTTTTCTTACAGCAAAGCCACATTAGGCTATCTGCTGTGTCCACCGATGGGAATCGAACTCCTGATTTTAGCGTTGTAAATCCAAAGACTTACCGCTATCCCAACGGGGAACAAGATTTAGACAATTAGAAAAATAACTATGGTATGCGCAACAACCATTTATTTATCACAGAACACAGATTTGACTAAAAGTGCTCTCCCATACAACAAGAACACGACGTTCACTAAGACTGTACGTGAGGGTTTGAATCACATCTTTATTGATGTAATTTGTAAACGTAGTACTAAATAACAGAAGTTCTTATAAAACTATTATTTAAAAAAATAAAGGATAGTACTTTCAATATATAAAAACATTACAGTTTATGTCAGCTCTGTACATTGAATTATTTAGTACATTAACTTATATATAAGTTGCGTATGAATAAAAGAGTACAATCAGAACACTTATTCCGTTCAGTACTTGTTTGTTTTTGAATTTCGCGCAAAGCTACACGAGGGCTATCTCCGCTAGCCGTCCCTAATTTTGCAGTGTAAGACTAGAGGGAAGGCAACTAGTCCTCACCACCCACCGCCATCTCTTGGGCTACTCTTTTACCAACGAATAATGGGATTGAACGTCATATTATAACGCCCCCACGGCTGAAAGGGCGAGCATGTTTGGTGTGAAGGCGATTCAAACCCGCGACCCTCAGATTGCGAGTCGAGTGCCTTAACCACCTGGCCATGCCGGGCCCCGTTCAGTAGTTCACAGAAAAAAAAAATACTTTTTTAAAAAATGTTAACTTTTTTTTTATTTATATACAATTAGGTATGAATACCATGATTAGTAATTAGTAGCGCAAACAGCCGCCCATAGGGCGGCGTTTCTGTAATGGCAAGTCACGTCTATAATGGTTAATTTTGCGATGCACTGAAAAAAAACAAGTTTTATAACACAAATATTTACAAGTTCAGTGTTATGTAAACGGAATGAGAAAGAAGACACAACATATTTGGATGCAGTACCAACTCTTTTATTTTTAGCTGCGGTCGACTACACTTTTAAGTGGTTTTGTTAAGCGGAAAACCTTACTTCTAAATGACAAAGAGGAGATAGCAAACACTTAATTTCAATCAATTCCTGCTCTGAAAAGTCACAAGAAACATATTTCTTAATAGATCTTAATTAGCAACCCGAAAGTAAGGTAATATCCGCTATAGAAGTGGCATACCAAAACTCTAATGACACAATGTTTACATCTCTAACAAAAGAATTTCATTTCCTACTGGTGGGAAGAATATTATTAATAAGAAACATTCCTGCGTACAGAACAAGAAAATCTTACGCGCAAGGCAGGCAAGGGAAGAATTACAGTGAAATAAGAAAGAATGTAAAACAAGTATAAACATTTACAAAAAGAAAAATACAGATAAATCACGGGAAAAAAACACATATTGTTAGGGAAAGGAAAAACGGATTGTGTTATGCAAAAAAAAAAAAAAGAATATAAATTTCAGCAGAAACTAAAAAAGGGGGGACTTTCTGTAGCACGTGACTTTCATTCTAGATTATTTTAGGTTACTGTAATGAAAAGAGATTTTTTATTTAAATTTGAAAATGTGCATAAATTCCAGACTTAACATCATAGCATCGTTTCTAATACAACACAACAGATGACAACCCTTTTGTTGCTGTTCTAAAATAATGCAAGAAGACAACAAGTCATTTGAAACCCAGTTTGTGTAACAATACGAACATGTTCATTCAGAGATCTCAACTATTAACCGTTTTCTGGAAACTTGTTTACATTTTCGTTATATATATATATATATATATATATAAAGTTGATTTGTCGTACAATATAATACATAATAAAACTACGGTCTTATTCTGACCAAAAGAAGGTGTTTGAGATATTCAGTATTTTTAAAATAACTGAAAATATAACGCAAAAAATAAATGACTAAACTGAGACAAAGGCGATGGTTGAACTTTACAAAATTTTGTACTGAAGCTTATGTAGCTCTTAATATTTCATTATCTAATGAATTACCTTCTAATTTTCACATACAGACTTTTTATTTATTTTTTTTACAATTTAGGGAAGTTTTTATTTACTTGGTTTACGATACATACGTATCAAACTAAGTAAATATTAATAGAAAAACTAAGTTATTAAACTCATTTATATTAGTTTTCACCTAAACCATGCGCATCAGACGTAACAATTGCTTATTTCAGCCTTAAATAAAATTTCACAAATTAATAATATTTACAGAAGTAGTAAATACTGATAAACATCAAGCACGATAATTATCACTCAATAAGAACGTGAAATAAGAAAAAAAAATCATTAAAACTCAATAATAATACTGTACAAGTAAATGACAAGGTACCTAAATAAAAGGCAAATATTTCTTTCATATCGTCTTAGCAACAAGAACTAAAAACACTCACGCAAACAGAATTTCAGAAACTTCACGCTCATCTAAGAATGTTGAGTCGTCAAAAATAAAATCACGCATCATGACACTGGATTCACCAGTTTATGTTCTTTCGGAATCTGGTCTGCCATTTTGTTTTTTGTTTGGGGTAGGGTGGGGGATATGATCTTTCATTTTTTTTTCGTTATTTTATTCTCTTGAGGGATCTGACCTGTCACGTCTAAGTCTTAATTTTTCTGGGATCTATCATTTTTTCTTTAGTTTTATTTTTTTAGGGATTCTAATTTGTTATTTCAAGTGTAGTTTTTGAATAACTTCTCCACGCGTATAATTGTTTACATAACGCTCATTTCTTTGTTGTTGTTTTTTTATTCATAGAGAAAAGTTTGTTACTACTGGTAACTTTTGGATTGTTAGTTCATACCCTTCCTGCGCAAAATTTCTATTTATTTCATAAACTTTCATTCTCCTGTTACTCCTTTAAGCTTCCACAGTACTACATCATAGATAAGATACAAAAAGATACAGTATATTCTCTAGTCCAGCTTCTTCTTTCTTTCTTTCTTTCTTTATTTTTGCTGAATACCGTTTGTGTTGGTACACAGCTTAATGCATACTGCATTATATGCCACACAAGTTCAAAAACATTAATGGACATTTAGGGTCTTCAGATATGTCTCATTTTTGCCAGTTCTGCGCAAAAAACACCTGGCGTGTTAATTATTAACAATAACGTTTAATGTTTGAAAGCGCAAAATTATTAATAAATTTTAAAAACATATAACGCAGTGGTGAAGAACGCCAAATTGGTGAAACAATGAGTCTTTTCTAAGCCTAACAGCAGTGGATAAGTTTACATTTGGTTGTAGGTCGTAATTCTTCACATTTTTGTTAATTAGTACAAGATAAATATCTGCAGTAAAGCATGAGTTTAATCACTAACATTTTAATTAGTACCTTCATCTAGTTCACGATACTGTTGATTACAAAAGGCACAGGGCAAAAAGAATTTATAATTCACGTCAAAGGCCAATAAGAATCTATTACGCACATTTTATATTTTTTACAGAAGTCAGATACAGTGGATGAGCCACTGGGTTATGTTATCACGTGTATGTCTATATCACTCCGAGTTTTAAGTACTATTTTGTGACAAATATCTTGCTCTGGCGATCTTATGAATTATCTCAAGCAAGTTAGTAGCTCTAAGAGTATTATTAAGCGCTACTTTTCTAATACTGATTCTTATTGAGACTCAGAAATTATGAATTGTTATCTGTCAATACCTTCCCTGATTGGTTATTTGTCGACACAAAAGTTAGTAACTTAACGGTCCTTGCAATGAAACGTGCTAGATAATTTCAAATTTTATGACTAATAACATATTAATTAAAACCTCACACCCATATATGTTCACCTTAAAACAATTTATAAGCTAGTTGACACAGTAGGGTGTACATCAGCCGCGTACAGTTTACACGTTGTAATAAAGATGCCACTTTTCATTTAAGAATTCAAAAAACTTTAACTTCATTACTTACAAGCATTTAACACATGACAAATTACGTTCGATATACATTCTACTTATTAGAAACATCTGAAACATATCCAAAACTTGAATCTACTGAGAACGACGCTAAACTGATTTTAAGCATGATAAAGTACAATGAACATGCTTTACTTGGTGAGACTTTACAAGCAAGTTATTTAATTAGTTTACAGCATTCTTTCAGTAAAGAACAACTACTAATACATCACCATATAAATAACTAGACAAGAATAACTGTTTTTCTAATCTAATAGATCAATTATAGTACTTCTGTAAAATACCGAGTAATATAAAACAAAAACGCACAAGACATGAAGGATAACAGAACCTAGTCTCTCACACACATTCATTACAATCTTAACACCAAAATCCCTTGAGGGCTAATGTAAGATTACATGAAAATATTATATGCTTATTTCAGTGAGAGGTGACAATTAACATACTTATTTCGCAAACTGCAAGTTTAGTTAATTGTTCACTTAAGTACATTAACACTTGTGTACTCCAACACGAAACATTCTTTACGATAACACAAAAAACACATTTGGCATGTAATGACACTTACTCACAGCTGAAAACTTCATACAATTGCAAAGAAAGCACAAAATATATACATATATAGTATACTATATTGAAATTGACAGCACACACGTTAGCCTATTTATTTAGAAGTTTTCCTGAAGAAATTAAAACTGTGACCTGTTCTCAATTTTCACTTCTTTTTTTCAGAAAAACTTCTAACATATATATACATATTTGTTTAACAGAACCTTGTCTGTCACACATTCATTACAATCTTAACACCAAAATCCCTTGAGGGCTAATGTAAGATTACATGAAAATATTATATGCTTATTTCAGTGAGAGGTGACAATTAACATACTTATTTCGCAAACTGCAAGTTTAGTTAATTGTTCACTTAAGTACATTAACACTTGTGTACTCCAACACGAAACATTCTTTACGACAACACAAAAAACACATTTGACATGTAATGACACTTACTCACAGCTGAAAACTTCATACAATTGCAAAGAAAGCACAAAATATATACATATATAGTATACTATATTGAAATTGACAGCACACACGTTAGCCTATTTATTTAGAAGTTTTCCTGAAGAAATTAAAACTGTGACCTGTTCTCAATTTTCACTTTGTTTTTCAGAAAAACCTCTAACACACATATATATATATACATATTTACCCTTTATCTATGCACTTCTTATAGATTTGTAAAATATGTATAGTACACTTATGCTTTATGTATAATTTGTGCAAAGCAATACCATTATAAACAAGTGTTCGCCAGATCATAAAGAATTTTTATGCACATACAAACAATTCTTTACAAATAGTTTACTAAGGAAAATGATTACTCGAATACAAACTCACAGAAATATCATACAATATCACTACCTACAGCTGGAATGATGGCTCACAGAAATAACGAAGGTCTTCAGTTATCCTTTAATTAGACAGTTTCATATGAATCAGTTCTACCACAGTTTATACCTGGTAGCAAGTTTATTAGTTTTAATATTCTAATAGTTGCTCTAATGTTTGATTTTATTATTTTTGTAATTTTTAAAATGTTTCAGGTTATTTGCTATAACCAAGAAAATACTTTGTGTAGGCCGTAATGCAATTGATTCTCCTTACCTTTAACAGGCATTTTATATTAATATGTTAGAAACACTTATAACTATGTACGAGATCTTTTAGTTCAACTATCACCTTAGTCTTCCCTCACATTTGCTGCAAGACCCAACAAACACAGATTACTAATGCTATGTACATTAGCTGCACAAGAAAATATTCAGCAGGCCAGCTTGCTACAGAATGGAGGATTATCATTCAGACTACATTAAACAGCATAAAGTATTTGTATTATGCTTTCTTTGGTGTGATTTTAATTTTAAAACCCAAGAGACTTCCAGCGTACGAGATGGGCAACCCTTATTCATCATATATCACATTTAAAATTTGTCTTGTGACAATCCTGGATTTTCTATTTTAATAGGTTTTAGTATAAGATAATCATGCAATAAAAACTTTTAATCCTATAAACTGTGACCACACTTCGATAATCTTAAAGATATAACTTACATTTATCAATTGTATTGCTGAATTCAGAACTAACATATCATTATGAAATGTAACTCAGGTTTTCAGGACAGGAATCTCTATTTACATTGCTGACATCATTAACATACATCAGATGAAAGAATAATGATAGTCCAGTGTTATCTAGTGATACTATTAGAAAGTACTGAATAACTGAACCCTCAATTCTCGCACCAATTCTCAACTGTAATTGGTCAGTACTTATTATGCAATAATCTATGTTGGTGTTTACTGTAACTATAAAAAGCAATTTTTTTTGTAATGAATAAGTTATAGCTAAGGAAAGTCCCTGAGATCAGAAATCAAAGGTTAAAACACACTTTTTTTCTTAACGAACATACACGTTCTATAAACCTGAGCTAACATTTTATGACTTACTTTACTTACTATTATCTTATGTTAACAAAGCATGTGTATGAAAATAAGAATAATGCGATGATTAATACATAAACATTATGACGATACACAACTTATAGCTCACTACAAGTTACACAAGAATTAATTTAAATATACAATAAATTAAAGTCACCTCTGTGTCATTTACACAAGTAAAAAGGGTTTCTCTCTCTAATATGCAATTTTTTTTAATATTCATACTAGGACTACATTGCACAAACTTTCTAAAATTTATTCAGGTTTATTCTAGTCAATTTGAACAATTCTTCAAGTCTAATATCTTTTTCTATGCTGGTAAGTTACAAGTTATGTTATTTCATAATGTTATGACGTAAAAAAAGAAGAAGTTTTCAGCACTTGTGTACATTTTTAGACTTGTTTCTTAAAAAGAATGAAGTATGTGAAGAGCATAAAAATGAATGCAGGAAAAGTGTGAAGCAATTACTTGTGACTGTAGGTGGTTGCTGAAACAGTCACTACCTTAAGAATTTTCTCTCATGCTATGTTAACAACACTACTTTAAAATCAAGTTCTGATATCTAATTTTTGTAATTGTAAACTACTTGGTCTTCATTCTTCATAACTAAAGTGAAGTTAACTTGTACAAGTCTAAATTTTACCCTTATTAGGCTTAACAAAAGAGCAATGTTTTGTTGGTACTTTTATATTTATCTATTTATTTAAATATTTTATAGTTGCTTATTGTTTAGTATCTTCTCATTATTTTCTTTAGCATTAGAAATTCGGCACAGGAAGGAGTATAAAACAAAACTTGTATCATTGTATAGATTCATACAAGAAGCTCAAACCTTTCATGAGTTACTTTCTTTAATATTTCTAATAAGACGTATCATGTTTCTGTTATCCTGACTTCTTTCTGTGTAGTAACAAAAATACATCTAAAAATATGATTAAACTCCTTACCAGTAAGCCTAAAATAAGGGTTACATAAACCTAAAAAGATTTCAAAGTTTAATCTGTCAATATCTCATGTTTGTATTTTAAACACAAACTAAAAACAATATTTGTGAAGTGTTTGATGTTCAGCATATAGGTTATTTTTAGAAACTTCTATTTTTTTCAAATCCTATTTTCAAAGGTTTATGATTGCTAGATTTTGCACATTCTCAACAGCTTAAATACACCCTCCCTATTACGAAGCTTATACAGAATAGATTTATATCATACATGTAAATACATATTCATCTAGACATTTTAATACATGTTGCTCATGAAAATTAAGATAAAAATCATCTCATAAATTTATATCATTAAATGACATAAAGTAACCAATAACTTATAACTTAGAATTTTACTGTGCATGTCTTTAGAATTTTACTTGTACTTGGATGCAGTGTAGTGTAACAGTTGATTCAAAATTACATACAATTCTACTTAACGTTTTTACATCTTTTCTTACAAGTAAAAGCAAGAGTTTTCTGGAACAGATTATATTATGAAATATGCACCAGGCAGAATACTACAACAATAAATTTTTGAAGCTAACATTTAGTAATGCTAAGAGCTTGGTAATATAGGTTTTGCTGAACGAGATTTATCTGCTCCAGTAGACTTCTTTTTCTCCTTACGGTTTTGATCGTCCTACCAACAAAACACGACATATAAATGAAATGCCAGCTCCTTCTTTAGCACAAAAATTAAGCACACACAGCTATCAAAACATGCTGCTCTATAAAAAAAAAAAAAATGTGTCTAAAACATTTATATTAATACAAAAAAATTAACCAGAGACTAATTTTATAAAATTTAAAAAGAAAATAGAGAGAGAGACTGTGTGGACTAGTTTACTGAATTGTAAGCCTACTGCAGATTTTTTTTTATACAAGATTGTTTAATTGTTCAAACAGTAAAAAAGAAATGTGTAATAAAATAAGTTTTCAAAATTCTTTTAATAATACTTGACTTTCGTTTCATACCTTTGTAACAAAATTATAAAAGTATTGAGAGGTCTGAAGAATTGGTTTTACTATAAATGTTCAGTAAAATTAGTACTATAAAAGATTCAGTAATTTCAGCAAAGGACAACTGCTAAAAACTACACAAAAAATAACACATGTACAATCAATATATGCTGAACATAGTACTGTAAAAAATGTTAAAACAAAAAAAAGCTAACTGAAGAAATTCGTGTCTCTTTGACAACATAAATATGACTGATAATTCTCTGAACATTTAATAATCTTTTTTGTTTGTTTGTTTTTTGAATTTCGTGCAAAGCTACCTCAGATTACGAGTCGAGTGCCCTAACCACCTGGCCATGCTGGGCCAATAATCTTATAAACATGGATACACAAAACAAGGAACGCACGAATTAATACATGTTTCAGGCTCTAATGATGATATGGATAAAACTTCTCTTTCCACAAGTATTTCAATTACACATCAGTAGAGGAATCTTTTAAAAAAGCACTTACTGTAACCATATTGTCATAGCTTTAAACACAAAGTATTCTTAAAATATTTATCAGTATCTAAAATTATTCATAAGAAAAAAAAAACATTTATTTACAACACAAAACCAAGTCCAGTCACATTCTGCTAAAAATATACTGATTGAAAGGAACAGAACTATTCATTGCTTTACTTAATAATAATATACAACTTAAGCAGAACACAAAACAAGTCCAGTTCTGTTGTAAAAAATATCTAATTGAAAGTGAACAGAGATAGATAACATAAATAAATTAAATAATAAGATTACTTAATTGTACTGTCTGTATATGTATACATGTATATTTAATAAAACTTAATAAAAATCAATTAGTTAATGTTATTCTAAATAGTTTCTGTATTTAACTGATAATAGATCTACATTTTTAGTGTAAATCCAAGTTTTGTTTTATTAACCTATGAATCATTTGGTGAGAGTTACAAACACTTTCGATACAAAACTGAATGTTTATTTTAGTTTCATGAAATTTGGAGAAAAAAAACCAGAAAAGCTATAGCCATTTTTGGTGCATACTTTATCATCTGTCAGCTACATAGAAAATTATTAGCTAGCAAAAAATTAAGTTAACTTGAAAAAACAAAACGGCCTTTAGTCAGCATATAAGCAAGTTTATTTTTTTGTTTTTCCAAGAAAATAATTTAATGAAGTTTGTTCTGCCACATTGTACATTAACACCATTTTCTATAGCTATACATTAAAAATCTAGGTAACTGACAAATATAAAATCTGATAAAAATATCATATATCTTCTAATTAATTAATCATATTCATATCATACATTAACACTTTTTTTCTATAGCTATACATTAAAAATCTAGGTAACTAACAAATATAAAATCTGATAAAAATATCATATATCTTCTAATTAATTAATCATATTCATAACACATTTTTTCCAGTGATATATTAAGGAAAACATTCCACTACTATTAGACTTTTGTGGTGTTTTAATGTTTCTTTATTTATCACTTGATTCTTTAAATTTTTTTTTAAAGTAAAGATTGTGATCTAGAGCAGTGGTTCCCAAACTATTTTAGTCTGAGGCTCTCTTGATGTGAATAAAAAAGTTTGAAGCCCCCCCCCCCCACTATAAAAATGCCTTAAAATGTGATTAATCAATTTCAAAAAAATAATTACTAAGGAACCTTAATGATATCTATGAAGTACTTTTCTATTAAATTGTATGTTTGTAATTTAATGTGGCCTTTTCTTATCAATTTATATATATTATAATTAGATCATTAGCAATTTATTAATTATGTTTGGGTTAAATTTGTAGATGGATGAGCAATTAAATACACACTTAATTTTATGTAAGATTATCTTATTTTCGTTTTAAAATATGAAGCAATCCTGTAATTTAAGTTTTAAGATTAATGGTAACAAAAATGTAGAATTAAACATTTTATTTACAAATTAATATACAATCAAATTAAAATAAAACATAGCTGGTCCCCCCCAAAAAAGCTTTGGGAAACACTGGTTGAGTGTTTTATACATGCATTCCATAATAAATAGGTGTTTCAAGTGTAAGATATTTCTTAGTCATATAAAAAAAAGGTAAAAACTAAAATGCTAATAAATTTTGAAAGTTTCTCCACATTTACACAAGTTTGCCAGCATAATGTCTAATTCAAGTTTTAAACAAATACAGCAGCCAGTGAGAAAGATTCAGTCTAGGAAAGCTGCAATATACTATATTTCTAAATCAAGACATTCTCCTTGGATGTGTGATGCCTAGGAAAGCCCAAGAATATTTGATTAACTAAAAAAAACTACTTACCCGAGATCTTCTTACATCATGAGGAGAAAGCTTCTTTCTAAAACTATAGAAAAATGGAAATCCTAAAACAAACTGAACTGATACTTAACAAAAAAATGCTTAAAACATCAAATGGAAAAATACAAGGTTATGCATAAAGTAGTTATTTTGAATATACATTATTGTTAAAAATGAAAGTAGTCCACATTTCCTTACCTGTGAATCAATATAACTTTGCCAGCATTGTATTTGGCTTTATGTATTTTACTGAATGCTCTAACAGTATTACTTATAATTCAAGTTTGTCAAATAAAATCAAGTACAGCTCTGAACATGAAAACAATTAGAACATATTAATTTCAATTTCTCTTAATTGAAAAATCCCAATTTGTATTGATTTAATTCAGTTCCGAATTACTTGTAACTATAAATAATGCTTAAAAATAAAAAAACAGCTAATATGGGATATCAAAAATTTTTTGGGAAGTTTTTAATTTTGAAAGTGTGTGAGATACCTCCAGTACTTATACTCAAAATATTCTGGAAAAATCGGTTTTTCCTCAAAAATTGTGGACTAGTTCATCAAACTCTACTAACTAATTCATTTAAAATGATTGTTTGTTTGTTTGAAGTTAAGCACAAAATCACACAATGGGCTATCTATGCTCTGCCAACCACAGGTATCAAAACCCGGTTTCTAGCGTTGTAAGTCCACAGACATACCGCTGTGTCACTGGGGGGCAATAGTTTGTTTGTTTGAAGTTAAGCACAAAACCACACAATGGGTTATCTGTGCCCTGCCAACCACAGGTATCGAAACCCGGTTTCTAGCGTTGTAACGTCCGCAGACCAGTACCGGCTAGTGTCACTGGGGGGACAATAGTTAATTGTTTGAAGTTAAGTCACTAAAACC